AAAAAAAAAATATACTCAACTAAAATACATCCTCTCTCTCTCTCTCTCTCTCTCTCTCTCTCTCTCTCTCTCTCTTGATTACCATCCAGATGTTGTTGTTTCAAAATTTTTGTTGCAGCCAAACAACCAGAAAATATTTTGATTTCTGGATTTCATTGATTACCAGTTTGTTGATTATCTTGCTTACTAGCCAAAAACAAAAAAAACTGTTGAATGATTCATTCATTCAGTTGATTTTGTTTCAAAATTCTAGGATTTTTTTTTTTTGTTGATAAATATCGATAGTATCGGTATTTTTTTTTAATTGCCCGCATTTTTTGTCGTTTTATCGCGTGTTGTGTTTTGTTTGACAATCGATTATTATCTTCATCAACCATTTTAGGTTTCGGGTTTTTTTTTTGTTTCGAACGAAAGAACCAGGCCAAACCGGTGAGAGAGAGAAAGAGAGAGAGAGAAAAAAAAAGTGGGATGTTACTTTAGAATGAAAGAAACCAATGAATGAGAGAGAAAGTGGGAGAAGCAAATAAAATAGGTGGAAAGAGAATGGAAGAGAGAGAAAGACACGCCCACTGTTTATTTGTTTGTTTGTTTTGGAGAGGGGAATGAATGAATGAATGAAAAAAAAAGTAGGCGGTACTTTTGTTTTTAGTCACACACACACACAGTGTATCTGTGTGTGAAATATGATTGGATGTTTGCAACAGGTGTAGAGGCATGGCTTCCCCAAAATAGACAAAAAAAAAATTTCCAAAGATGATTTTTTTTTCGATATATAAATATGGTTCGAATTTGAGCTCAAAAAAAAAAAATCCTGCTCGATTCGAATCTTTTCTTTTCTTTTTTCGAAAATTTTCTTGAAAAATCTTTTTTGAAAAAAGATGTAATTTTTAACTTTGAAATTTTTTTCATTTTTCTTTGGTTCTCATCGATCATCTTCGAAAATCATCATCAAAAATTCCATCAATGTGTCTTGATCAACAAACAATGGCGATCACTGGATTGATTCGGTTAGAAATCATCGATTGAAGATGCTCAAATTTCCGAACTAGAATATTTACGTAATGAATTAAAGGTAAGTGTTTATCGAACTTGAAACTTTTTCTTTCTTTTAAGATTTTTTGGATGTAAGAATTTTTTCACCCCCCAAAAGAGAGAGAGAGATTATTTTCCAAGAAGTTACCACCATCAAAGCCTCGAAGTCTGTGTGTGTCGAAATAGTCCAAGTTTTAAGAAATTTGAATCTTTTGATCATCGATAATTTTTTCTGTTAAACTTTGTCCACAGTCATTTTCTACTGTTTGTTTTTGGTTTTTTCGTTGTTTTATCGATTTTACCAACTACGAAAAAAAAGGTCAACATTGTTTGATTTGGTCATCGACATTCGTCGTTGTCATCGGGTATTGGTCAAATTGAAGAATCATCATCATATTTTTCGACCACAGAACAAAATCAACCAATCATCATTATCAATGATTGTGGTGATGGTTGTTAAATATCACCATCAATTGAGGTTTATATCGAGAGTTTTTCTTTCTCCATTTCTTTCTCTCCATGTCTGTGTGTTCAATTCAATTAGTTATTAGGTTTTTAAAAGATTTTTTCTGGTTGTAAATATTTACTTATTGGGTGTGTGTTTTTCATATGCTGTAAAGTTTTCTTTGCTTTTTGCCTGTCTTCAAGTGGTTTTTTTTCTAGTCGACATCGTCATTGACATCAACTAAACAACCAGCCAGCCAGCCACACACACATATTTAGATTAGGTTTTTCTGTTTGTTTGTTTGTTTCCGTTCTTTGTCTTTTGCTTGATTTTCTTTCTATTTGCATTTAGCTTGCGTAGCAAGCTGAAAAACCAAGCCAAGCATCGAGAAAAAATACAGCGTGGCGGGCTTTGATCGGCTTTGGTTATAAAATCAACCGAACCAAGAGAGATCATTTTTTTGGCAAACATTTGGCATTTTGCGTTGTTTTGTTGTTTTCTGGCTAATAAAGAATCCAATAAAACAAAACAAAAAACGAAACAACATGGCAGTCAATCAATGTTTGCTCGATTTTTTCCCGATTTTTTTTTTAATCTCAAAAATGCTACCAGCAAACACACATCATATGCATCACAATCCTCCAGTAATTTTTTTTTTGTATATAAAAATCGCATACACAGGCAACAAATAATATTGATGTTTGTTTCTTTCGTTGTTATGGTGATAGAAAGATATGTGTGTGTGGTGTGGATTGAGAGAGAGAGAGAGAGAGAGAGAGAGAGGATGTATTTTAGTTGAGTATTTTTTTTTCGCTGGTTCATGTTTGTTTTTTACCAATTGTAAATGTATGCAGAGAGAGAGAGAGAGAGAGAGAGAGAGAGAATGATATACGATGATGATTTTCGACAATTTTGTTTTGTTTCATCATCATCATCATGAAAACAAGAAAAATATTGCAGCCATAGATAGAAATTTATGCAAGAAGAGCGTTTTGAGAGTGATGGAGAGAGAGAGAGAGAGAGAGAGAGAGAGAGAGAGAGAGAAGTTTTTGGAGAAAGAAATTTTTCGGAAAAAAAACTTTAAAGATGTTTTTTTTCCCGAACATCCAAAAAAAATTGTTGAATGGTGGTCCATGTTTATGTTTTGTTTTGTTTGTTTTCGATGTTTGTTTTGTTTTGAAATAATCACCATTATTTCAAGGGATGGATGTTTTTGCTGTCGAGGAGCAAGTGGAGGGAAGGGGGAGGAGGGAGGATATTTAGATGTGTGTTTTTAGTTTGATTAGATTATTTATGACAGGAGATCATTTCATTTCAATTTCATTTTGGAATGAATGATTTATTACAATCCACACCTGATGGATTAGTTACAAAGAAAGAAATTAAATTACTTTTTTTTTGTAATCAGCAGTTGATGATTAGATTATAAATTAATTAATTTTTAATAATAAAAATTTTTATTAACTTTTTGTACTTTTTTTTACAAATTTTCTTGTAGATTTACCAACAAAAATGTAATGATTATGAAGAAAAATTTAAAAATTTTAATGAAAATTTTCAAAAAATTGAACAAGAATATTCGAAAGAATTACAACAATTAGATCAATTACATGATGAAGAACGAATGAAATTATTAAAATTACGTGATCAATTGATTGATGAAAATCAATCAATAAAACGGGAATTAAATCAATTGAAACAATCGATAACAACAACAGAAAATGATGTTGATTCCGGTAAACATGTGGATATTTGCACACAAACCGAACAGTTGGATGAAAATAGAAGTTTGTTGCCGGTGTTGGCGGATTCAGCCAATCAAACTGATTTCGAACAATTTTCCATCGAACATATTTTGAAAGTATCATCAAAATATTTGAATTTAACCGAATTTGGCCATCGTTTTGATGATAATGATGATAATAATAATGGTGATCGACAAAAATTTGTTGAAAAAATTGTGGAAAATTTATGTAAACGTTTGGATACGATGATGATGATGACAACATCCGATAATAATGGTGGTGGTGGTGAGGATGAATCAAAAATGACTTTGCATCAACAACAACAACAGCCTGCAGTTGATCAAATGCTGAATCATGATGTTGATGATGGCGAGGAAAATAATTCATCTAATCATCATCATTGTCATCTGATGAATGAATTGGAAAAAATTTCGAAAGAAAAAAATGAATTAGAACAAAAATTGAATGAATTGCAATCAAAGCAACAACAGCAATCAACGACAGAATCGGTCAATTCGGACGCTAATCATGCCGTCCAATCATCATCCGCTGCTTCAACAGAATTTTCAATTCGTGAAGAACCTGAAGGCGCAAATAATTCGGATTCTGATTTAATCAATAATCAGGATAATCATCATTATCAGCAAGAAGAATTTGATAATCAAAATCGTTTGATCAAAGAATTGGAATTGAAACTTTCAACATTAACAGCTGAACATGATGACCTATGTCAACGTTATCATTCATCGCAGAATGAAAATCAAATATTTGAAAGAAGATTTAAAGAAACTGAAGAAGAAAGTGTTAAATTACAACATCATTTACATCAAATTGAATTGGAATCGGATACATTACGGGTAGGTCTATTTATTTTGTTTTTGTTTTGAAATTTTCTCATTATTTTTTTTTTGTCACATTAGAATCAACTAAATGAAATAGAATTGGAAAGAAATTTATTACGCCAGGATTTATTGGATCAAAAATCTCAAAAAATTTGTCAAACAGAATCGATGGAAAAATTGGCCAAAGAATTGAATCAATATCAACAACAATCCGAACAGATGACCAAAATGTTAAATAAATTAACCGAAGATAATTCAATGTTAAAATCACGATTAGCCGAAAAAGATGATGAATTAATAAAATTGCGAGAAAAATCAACAACAGAACAAGAAAATCAACAAACAAATTCTATTGAAAATGAAAAATTAACAACAGAATTGAATCGTCTTCGGCAACATTTGGTACAAGTTGAAGAAAATTATATTGGTTATTTAAAAGAAATGGAAGAACGTTTAGAACAATCACAAAAAATTATTGAAAAATATGAACAAATGAATTTTGATCAACGTGAATTGGAATATCAACAACAAATAGAATCATTACGTTTAGAATTGGAATCATTACGTAAACAATCATTTGAATATGAAGATAAAATTGAACGTTTACAAGCAAATTTGATTAATATGCAATCAGTTATTGAACAATTGGAAAAAGGTAAGTGAAAAGAATTTGAACAAAAAAAATGCTTTTCTTTACTTACCAATCAATGTTTTTTCTTTTTCTTTTCTCTGTTTTTCTCTCTTGAAGAACATGAACGAAAAATTCGTTCATTAAATGATGAATATCAAAAACAAAAACAATTAACCGATCAACGGGATGATGAATGGCGTTATCGATTGAAAACAATGGATGAACATTTACAACAAACACGACAAGCATTAGAAGCAGCTTCAAGATTAACCGAACAAATTGAACAAAAAGAATTATTAATCGAACAGCTTAAACGTGAAGGTATGTTACACACTTACAAAGTTTTCTATTTCCATTATTATCTTTTCCCTGGTGTGTGTGTTTTTTTTGAGAACAAAAATGAATCAGCCAACAAAACCAGAAACCAAAAAAAGCCTTCAAGCGTCGGAGTATTATATATAGGTACTGAGGAAATGGAAAAACAATATCCGTACCTATTATAAGACTCATGCGCTTGTTGAGCATTTATTCAACCAATTGATTTTTGTTTGTTGTTTTCAAAATCCCCAAAAAATCAATCGATCGATAACTAATTAACGTCTTTTTTCTATTGAATTTAGCCAAAAACAAAGATCAAGAAATATTAAAACAAGAAAAAAAACTAAAAGATATTGAACAATCACAAGAAGGTAAAGTGGATAAACAAATAATAAAAAGTTTAATATTAAGTTATTTGGCAACACCAATGGATAAACGTACGGATGGTGAACGTTTATTGGCACGTTTTTTGGATTTTAATCAAGATGAAATGTTACGTGTTGGTATTCGTATTGGTCGTGATGCAAATAATAAATCTTCAGATAATTCATCATCATTTACGACAAGTTTTGTACAATTTTTGGAAACTGAATCAACATCATCGCCGGATAAAAATCCTGCTAATAATAGTGGAAGAAGATTATCATCATCGACGTCATCATCAAATCAACAAATAGAATTGGCACGTGATCTAAACAAACGCCTTAATCAACAACAACAACAATCCGATTTGAATCAATCTCGTTTGGTAATTAATCCATTTGTTTCACCTGTTGTTCCACCTGTTATTTCAACTACAACAACCGCTACATATCATCATCATGGTGGTGGTCATCATAGCCGTACACCATCAATGCATTCACAACAATCATCAACATCATCATCATTATCAGATTCTTGTAATACAATGATCGTACAGAATCGATTATTATCATCATCGAATATTGATTCATCATCAATGACAATGATGAATATTGTACCACCATCAACAACAACATCAGCTACAACAACATCAAATATACCTGAAATTATTCGTGATGTTATGAATAAAGATAAATTTATTTGAAAACCAAAAACCCAAAAAAAAAGTTTAAAAGTTTTTTTTTCATTTTTGACATTCAATTTTTTTTTGTTGAAAATTTAATTTGCGGAAAAAAATGGATGAATGAATGAATGGTAGTGTGATCTTTTCGATTTTTTTTTTGTTTTGTTTATCAAAGTTTAAAATGCAATTGTTGTTTTTTTTAAACTGTCAAAGATCATCGATTAATTGAATATCAAATGATCAAAAAATGTTGAATGTTGACAATCATCGATAATATATAAATACCAATGGTTTTTTTGATTTGATTCGATTTATTTTGTGGAGTGTATATTATTTTTTGATTCACATCGATTTGTGGTAAAATTTTCAACGTTTTTTTCTTTCTCGTGAAATTTTTTTTTTCGTGCCGATCGTAAACCAGAAAAAAATGGACAAAAATTCAATAATTTCATCGAAAATGATCATCACAACAGTGATGATAATATTTTTAATGAAAATTTCATTAATTCAAACAACAAGACGAATAGAACGAATAGATCGAATACAACCAATGAAATTTTTTCATGATTGTGGTAATGGTGAAATCACTTATTTACGTTTAGGTGATTGTTATCATGATGTATCCGAATGTTTTGTACAAGTAAATTCAACATTTAAATTACAATATGAATTATTATCAAATCAAAATACATCCAAAATGATTGCTAATATGACTATTATTGAAGTATTAACACATCATCATAAAGTAAATTTTTGTCAAGATTATCCAGATATGTTTACTTGTCCATTGATCAAAGGATATCAATATAAACGTAGTTTTAATGTTGATTTAAGTGGTTATTTTATTGAACCAAAACCAAATATTACTTATCCATATATTGGTCGTCGAATGTTACCTGTTGAAATGAAAATTAATTTAGAAGGTGATCATGGTCAAATTGCATGCATTCGATTGAATTTTAAATTAACCGGGTGAACTTCTTTAAACGACAAAAAACCAGAGAAAAAAATTTTTTGTAAAAACCAAATGATAATGAAAAACAAACAAACAACAACGATGATGACGACGATGACGACTAAATGATGATGACATTCAACATTTTTGAAAAATTGATTACAAATGCCAAATGATGATCAATGAAACATTTTGCCTAGACATAGATTTTTTTTGTTAAAGATCGATGTTACCACCACACACACACACACCAGACACACATACCCAAACCATGAATCCTTGAGATTTGTTCCAATTTTATTTTTTTTGAAATAAAAACACTTTTTTTTTCATTTAACTGGATTGATTTCCTGATTGATAAAAATCAATCAATCGAATGATGATTGAATTTGTTTTTTGTTGTTGTTGTTGTTGTTTTCGATTGAAATGATGATGTTATATTTTCTTCCATCAACGATGATGATAATGATGATGATTATCGTTAAAATTGATTCAATCAATCTACCAAATGTACGTCGAATTGGTTCACAAATCATTCAGGTATATGATCCGGATTTAGATCGTAATACAGAAGAATTGATTGAATCAAGAGGATTCTTGGCTGAATCCTTTAATATTACAACCGATGATGGTTATATTATTCGATTGAATCGTATTATTGATCCATCCAATTATCATCTTGGTGGTGGTGGTGATGGTAAAAATCAAACCAAACTTAAACCAATCATACTTGGACATGGTTTGTTTTTATCCGCAGATTCATTTTTGATAAATTCACCAAGATTGAACACGAATAATTCATTATATGGTAATAATTTAGGTTTTTCATTAGTATTAACCCATCGTTATGATGTATGGCTGATAAATTATCGTGGTTGTGAATATAGTCAACAACATCAATATATTTCAGCAACTGATTCCGAATTTTGGCAATTTTCATTTGATCATATGGCTAGATATGATTTACCGGCTGCAATTCAATTTGTTCGTAATCGAACCAACTATTTTGATCCAATTGGTTATATTGGTTATTCACAAGGATCAACCATAGGTTTTGCATTATTATCCGAGCAACCTGAATATGCTAAAATAATTCAACCATTCATTGCATTAGCACCGGTTATTTACCTGGAAAATTCTCGCTCATTTTATCGTTATCTTGCACGTTTTATACCCATATTACGTTATCGTAGTCAAAAATTTTTATTATCAACACGTTTTATGAATAATTTAATTATTGGTAGTACATGTCATTGGTTAACACCATTATGTTCATTCGGTTTGGCAATTCGATTTGGTTTTGTTGACCAAAAAAATCTAAATAAAAGTCGTGCAGAATTATATGCCCGATGGTATGGTACATCTGATTGGAATATTGTACATTGGGGACAAAATTATCTGGAAAATCGTTTTGCTCGTTTTGATTATGGTCAACCGGAATTGAATCAAAAATATTATAATTCCGTTAAGAATCCTGATTATAATTTAAAACAAATATCACCACAGGCTAAAATTATACTAATACAATCTAGAAATGATGATCTTTCAACCATTTCGGATGTTGAACGATTAAAATATGAATTATCAGATACTATTGATAAAATTGAACATAAAATCATTGATGATCCAAAATTTACACATTTAGATTTTATGTATGGTATGAATGCTGGTCAACAATATATTGATTACCTTATCGAAATGCTCAACAATGATGATTTTTCCTAATTTTTGTTTTCCGGATTTCTATTTCGATCCATCTATCTATCTATCTATATCTCAAAATTCAATACATTTTTGTTGTTATAAGATGCATATAGATGTGTGTTTTAACATCAATAAATCAATGTTGTTGTGGTTGAAGCAGCAATGAAATATGAAACAAACAAAAAAAAAACGCCCTGTATATTAAAATGATTAACACGTTCACCAGCGCTTTGCAAAAAACCCATTAAATCACAGCAAATGGACGACGCATCGCTGGTAGCGAACGTGTTAATGTTGATTTTTTTTTTTTTTTTTGATTGATAAAATGCGATGTGCTTTACAAGTGTTAAACATTTTTTATCGAACTTTCTTTTTTCTTTTTTCTAAATAGATTTTTCTTCTTTCAGTGTGTATGTAAAGTATATAATGATTTTGCATGTTTCTCCGGTTGCCATTAGATTCATTTCGATTATCAATTTGAAAGTTGTTTTTGAAAAAAAAAAATATTTTATCATCGTCATCGAAAATCGATCCATCCATCCAGCTGCACTCAAACATATAAAACCACATCATCGAAATCAAGAAAAATTTTGTTGCTTTAACCCAAAAAAATCAAATTTCGATTTTCAAATTTCCAAAGTTTTCGTTTGTTGCTTTCCTGAATTCCCCTGGTTATTATTCCGTGAATCAAATCCAGAAAAAAATGGCTCGAGAATGTATGTGCTGTGCTGCCATTATTGCATTTTTCTGTCCACCATTAGCCGTATTAATTATGGATGGTTGTGGTGCTGATTTTTGTATTAATCTTTTACTTACACTATTATTCTTTATACCCGGTTTGATACATGCATTTTTTGTTATTTGTCGTGATGAACGACCACAAATGCATCATACAACAGTTATTGTAGCTTGATTGTAAAACATCAAAAATCTTATAAAAAATGAAAGATTTACAACAAGAATCACAAGAATAAATTCATTCATAATATGCATTTTATAAATTTTCATTTTATAAAAATTTTAATAAATATATTTGTCACAAGAAAAATGAAAACGTATTTTATATTCTTTAATAAAATTATAAATAAATAAAAAAAACCTATTAATGATTAATGATTAATGAATGAATAAATTTCTTTTCAGATAAATTTACAAAATTTTTTCTTTTTTTTCCAATAATAAAAATTACAAATGATTCAAGTCAAAAATTGGATGGATTTCGGATTCTCTCTTTCATTTCCCCGGTTGATTGTTTGTTTGTTTTGTTTTGCGATCATATATAGGCAGCCCAACCATAATATAATGCACCAAGATTATTAACATCGGTTGCTTCTTTTAAAACATAATCAATTTGACCAGCAACCGACATTATATTACCACGTGATAATTTATTTATATGTCTTGTTGTTATACCGAATAAACGTGCTTCAACATTGAATACAGATTTTTCAGCCTAAAAATTAAAAAAAAAATTATTGATAGAAAAATTTGAATTTAACAACGAAAAAAATAAAACTTACAAGTTCATTACGATCATTACACCAATCTAAAAATTTATCATAAAGAAATATTTGTACTGTTTGTGAAAATATTTCACGATATTGTCTACAAATTAATAAAACATCTTCACAAGTTGAACGAAATAAACCTTCATAACCATTTGTACCCATTGCTGATATCATATTATGTGTTAAACGAAATGGTATTAATTCTGGTACAATAAATCCTTCACCACGATTAAATAAACAATTAAAATCCACCTGTATCATTTGACCGGTTTGTGTATCAAACATAACATTATCAGTATGACGATCACCAAGACCCAATATATAACCAAGTATTGAAAATACGGCTGTTGTACGGATGAAATTTCTTCTTGCCTGATACCATGAATATGAATCAATATAATATTCTTGAAACCAATTCTGTAGAATTGGTGGTCGAAAATTTTCAAAATGTTGTAAAAAACGTTCAACACGTTTTTCACGATTTAAATGTGATGGACAAACAGCTTTAATAAATGCATTTTTAGCCAATTGAAATTGTTTTTCTAAACATTTTGTTTTTGAATATTGTTTTTCAGCTAATGATTTCAATGATGTAAGGCCGGGTATCCATTCAATAACCCCGAATGAATCATTCAATGCAACAGCAAAATATGTTCGAACAAATAATGGTTGTTGTTTACGTCTGGACCAAATTTTCAATTCACGTTCACCATCATATTCATTATCATCAATTCTTGACATTGGTTCTATCGTAGGTATTTCACCACGATAACATTGATTAAATAAATTTAAATATGTAAGCATTGTACAATCTTTTCGTAAATCATCACCACATTTAACAAGTATTTCACGTTTCATTCCATTATTACAATAAAGTGTTAAACGTTTTGGATGTTGTAATGATGTCATTACCTGAGCTTTATCCTGAAATTTTTCAATAAATAATGTACGAAAATAATGTTGATCATCATTGCCATTACCATTTGATTTCATTGCTGATAAACGTTCCAAATTCATTGAATTTGGTAAGAAAAATTGATTCGATGGTAAAATAAATTTAAATTGTTGATCATTTTGCATACATTGTATCAATGTTGGTGATATTAATTGTAATGATATTTCATTTTTATTTTGTTGTTGTTGATTCGAAACAATTGATCTTCTGGTTAAATTTTTCTTCTCTTTATACATTGCTAAATTTTCCAAACAATCCGAAAATTGATTGAATTTACCGAAATATTGTACAATAAAATTTGTCGAAATCGAACCACCATCATTTTGATTATTTTCGGCAAACAATTTCTGTGCACCTTGTACCAATTCTTTTGTTTTCAAACTACGACGACCAATTCTTGTTGATAGTGATCTTGATATTAACCATACCATATGCCTGGGGAAATCGGCAATTAATTTTTTTAAAATTTCTTCAATCAATTTTGATATTGTTTCGATTGGATGTAATAAATGACCAATTAATGTATCTAATTCAATTAGAAAAATTGCATCATTCATTGATGATTGAAACATTTCCCTGATCCATTGTGTTGAACGTTCAATAAATAATTTACATAAATCATTTAATGTTTTTGTTCTTTGATCCTGTACGGTACGTAAACGATTTTGTAAGGAAATATTTTCATAACCCATATAAAACCAAATATTCAATAAAATTGGTAATGAAAGACGAACATATTTATATGTACCAAAACGTAATGAATCACAAATTGATTTGATTGTCCTTGCTTTCAGATCCAAAATTTCATTTGGTTTTCCAAACAAAAATTTTGTTTTACTATCCAATAATGGACTTGCATTTTGATATTGACGATAAAGACGACGATAAAACATTGCCAAATGAAAATGTGCTTCTTCCCAACGTGGACATGATATTGTTATTGATTTATATAAAATTATTAATGCATGTAAATTAAGACGGCCACTATATTCCGAATATTTTGCAATTTGTAATTGAATTTTTGAAAAATTCATTAAATTTTCTTCAGTTATTAAATCATCAAATTGTATTGTTTGATCATTAGTTGTAGAATTTGTTCGTGAACGTGATGATGCACGTATATTATTACGATTTTCATTATCGATTAATGATGATAAAAATGTACCACAACTATTACCACCAGACATTTGATTAATCTGTGTACGTGTTAAATTTAAATCAAATAAATTTGATAAATTATAAAGATCTTGTTCAGGCATTGGTGTAAAATTTTTCAATGATTCAAGATAACATTGTCGTTGTATTGAATGATAACGATTTTCCAATTCTGTTTTCAATAATTCAATTGATTCAGTTTTTTTATTTTGATTCCATAAAACTTGTGAATGATCCAATAGAAAATCAACCGATTCATTTTCCGAAATTTTCCATAACGATGATGAATCGTCGGTGGATCGCTGTTGTCGTTGTTTCAATTCATCACGTATATGATATGTTTCAGCCAATGAAATCATTATACGATCAAAACGACCAGTTCGTAATGAACATCGTATTGAATCATGTTCAAAATGAAATAATTCTTTTAATAATTTACAACAAATCTGTTGACCAATTTGTTGTTCATAACGTAAAAATAATCGTATTAATAAACATTGTACATTCATTAATTGTTGTCTTTGTTGTAAATTATCAATTAATTGATTACGATTACGCCATTCAATAAGTATTTCATTGATAGAATTTTCTAATTGTTTTATCGATTGTTGTTGTTGATTATCATTATTCAAATTATCAATATTTTGTTGTTGTTGTTGTTGATCATCCAACAATAATAAACGATTATAAATAATTGTTATAAATTGTTGTAAATCATATAATAAATGTAATTGTAAAATTGATTGATTATAAGTACGATTATAAGCAGTATATGAATTTGTCAATAATGATGAATTTAAATGTATTAAAAATGTTTGTCGTATATCGGATAATTTTGAATCAATTATGAATGGTGATTTTTGTTGATACATTGCCTGAATGATTTCATCAATACCTGAATTCAATGTTGCTGTTGTCGATGACAGTGATGATGATAATGGTAAATCCCATTGATTCAATGTCGTTCGATGATCATTCGATTTATTATTATCTGATAAAATCCATGATGGCAGTGATGATTGTTCAATATTTAACATTGAATGAAAAAATTTTTCCTGTAATGTTAACAGATCAAATTCACTTGATTGTTGATCTTCATCATTTGTTTTCATTAATCGTAATAATCGATTACCATATATAAGCTGTTCTAAAATATTATTATTTAAAAGTGATTGATGAAATTGTTGATATAAAAATCGTTGATATGATGATGATTGCGAATTGTTTGAATCATCGATTTGATTACGAATCAAACCTTGCAGTGTTTCCAGATCATCAAGTCCATAATAAATATCAACATATAATTGAAAATGTTTTCGTATAAATTCATTTGACGAAGAATTTTGTTGCTGTCCTCGTTGTTGTTGTGTTGAACTTGTTATCATTTCATCATCACCATCATTATTTGCATTTGCATTTGCATTCATTGAATTTTGACAAAAATTTTCCAAATATTTCAATGAACGACTATAATTTTTTGATTGACAACATAACCGAGCTAAAAGGATTGGATCAATTTGTTTCAACCATAATTTTATACCATAATATTCATGATCTAATTGTCGTATAGTACGATTACGTAAAAATTTACTACCAATCACCAAGCTATGTGCCAGTCGTCTTTTCCGTATCCATTCGATCAATATATCATATAAACTACATATGAAATCTGTAAACATTATACCCAATTCATTACCACCTGAAAACATAGCAGTATTGGATAAAAACTTTTCTACAATCATTTGATGAAATTTTTCAGCAAATTTCTGTTGATTCGAATCATTCAAACAACCAAGGCTAAAGATGAATAATCCAGGTAATAATAAAAATGATAAACGTATATTCAACGTGATTGAATGATAACAAACAATAAAAAATGATTCAGGTGTCCTCAGTTGATTTATACGTTGTTTAATTTCATTAAATTCTTGTTGAAGATCGAAAAAATTTGAACCACTACAATTCAATGATGAATGACGTTGACTTGATGAAAATATTTGACTTAGAAATTCTTCATTATTTATATGATTAAATGATTCCATTGTTGTTTCTTGAATTGGATTCGATTTCAACCTTGGTATAATAATCGAATGATAAAGCATATATATGAATGATTGTAAAAATTCACTGAATAACATTGTCGATTTAATTTGTTGATCAAAAAATTCATCCATTTTCATTATTGAAAGTTTACGTAGATCTTTTGAATTCATTGTTGAATGTTTAAATATTTGTCTATAATTACGAAATTCAATGTCCATAAAATCATGATCAAAATTTAAATTTTCATTACGTTCATTCAATAGAAAACGTTTTATCTGATCACAACGATCAATAAATTGTATTTCTTGACTAGCGGATAATTTCATTTTTTTCAAATTTTCACCACCACCAACACCGACACCAGCCAATAAACGTTGATCATTTTTTAAAAAATTTTCAATTTTTTGTGTCGATATACAATTACCATTGGAAACATTTTGTGTATTAAATTCTGGATTCGTACAACCTAATAATGTTGTTGTACGACCATTTAAAGATGTATGATCAGTAAATAATGGAAATAATTTTTTCATTGCATAACTTGCACTATTATATTCGGCTAAACGTTTTGCCGTTCGTATTTGTTCCATTAATAAATCCAATGTTAAAATTTTGAATGTACGTTTTTTATAATGAAATAATTTCCGATTATCATAATCAAACATTGTTGAATAGCTTTTTCCTGATATTGCTGATTGTTGTTGTTGTGGTTGCTGTTGTTGTTGTTGTTGATCAAAATAATTATCATAATTTTCTTCAGTAAATGGTCGATCAAATTGTAAGAATTTTGGTGATATTGCACCCAATATTCCCAAACAATTTGTAGCCAATTTTTGTATTTCTAAACCATTTGAAAATTTTAAACATTTTAACATTGTTAAAATTATTTGTTGAAAATAATTTCTTAATGTTATTTCAATGGATTTTTTCATCGTCGTTGTTGTTGATTTGTTCACTGAAGATTGGTCATTTAAAATTTGAATCGAATCATTATTCATTGATTCTGGAGAGATAGTTGTTTGTTGTTGTTGTTGTTGTTCATCATCAATTTTCAGATCCAAACAAATTTCGGATAAAAAATCAACAAAATCTAAATTATCAATGGATTGTTGTTGACAAATACGATAATATAAATGACGATTTAAATCTAAACGTTGATAAATTTGTTGCAGAAGTATTTCTTGTAAACGTATTTCATTTGTTTGTTGTAGATTTTTTGTAAGAAAATAAATTTCCCTACAAATTAATATAAATTTATTGGATTTTATCAAACGAATCAGATGAATTCGTTCATTCAATGTTTCCGATTGTTTCGATATCGATGATGGTGATGGACGAATTTTTGTATTATTATTTGTATCCAATGAACAATTATCGTTGATATCCATATCCGATGATGATAATAAATTCGAATCAATAATTAATAATCTTGATGAATATTTATTATTACTAAATTCATTAAAACGTTTTTGTAATTGATCTACAATTGATTTCAATGGATTATTATTCGATTGATCATTTGCTAAAAATGTTAATTGATAAAGTATTGATATAGGAAAATTATTATTATTTTCACATAATAATTTCATTAATAATTGTCCAGTTTGTCGAGGTAAATGTTGTACAAACGGTACAACCAATAAACAAATTGATAATAATTCCATTTGTAAATAATTTTGATCAATATGTTCAATAAAATATTGTAAAATTTTCAAACCAATTTCAATAATTTTATCAATATCTGAATGTTCATTCAATATTAATCGTATTAGGACATAAATTCTTATACGATAAACATTTAAAAATGAATCATTTAAATGTTGTAATGTTTGTAGAAAACTTTCACATAATAAAATTTTTTCTTCAATTTGATAATGACAATAATCTTTACGTATTATGATTCGATTAATTTTATATATGAAATAGATGAAAAATTCTTGTTGTAAAATTTGTTGAAATTTTTGTGGATTCATTTCGAAATAATTTAAATCAATTTGACGAAATGATGTTTCGAAATCAACATCATTATTATTATTGGTGATTTTTGATGCTTGATATATGAATGATAATGCTTTTAATGTTCGTTGAGAATTTTGTCCAAAACGTTTAAGTATTTTATCGGCTAATTTTTCTTTATAAAATAATTCAAATACATTATATTGACAATATGAACTAAGAGATTTTGTCATTTCGAAAATTTTTCCAATAAAATCCGTATCATTTGGATAATTGAAAAATAAATGTTCAATAATATTCGAAAAATATTGTCGAATTATATATATTTTTGGTTTATCAGAAATTTTTTGTTGTAATATAATCAAATCTAATAATTTTGTTATACGATCATCCCATTCGATTATTAGATCAGGTATTATCCAACAAAGTAATTCATTTGAAAACATATCGATATTAAAATATTTTGAACAATCAATAAGGAAATTTAGCTGGAAATTTTTTCGTAATTTTTGTACCATTAATTTTCCAATATCATTTTGATAATTTAGAAATAAATTTACTAATGATTCATTTATCTTTATGGCTAATTGTTCGAATGATTTTGTTATGAGAATTTGGCGAAATTCTTTAACACAATCATTTTGACCATCTTGACCATCATCGATACCGATATTCAAAAACAAAATGACAATACGTTTAATTTGTTCAAAATTCAATGCCGGTGCGCAAAGAATCAATAGAAAACATCGTATCGATAAATCAAGGCAATCGATTAATGATGACCATTCTTTTGATTCTGGTTTAGCTTCATTTCGTTGTTGTTGTTGTTGTTGTTGAACGACGATAATGCAAATCGCTTGTATCTTTTTGATTATCAAAATAATTTCCAAAATTGAATGAAATTTTATGCTTAACATTAACAATGTTTTCAATGATAATGGAATGGTTGTTTGAAAAAATGGATGATCAGTTGATAATGATCGATTGTCACCAATATTATTATCGTTGGCTAATCGTGCATTGATTCGATCCAATAGATCGATGACCAAGGTCGAATTCCAATCAAGTAAATCGTTGTTGTTGTTTGATTGACATTCATTATCACCAGCCGCCATAGTCATACTCTTTAATGTTGATATTTTCTTTTCAAATTCAATAAAAAATTCATTCATTATAGTGGAAAAATCACAAAAATATCCATCAACCATTGTATCCGTAACCATTATATAATAGATTCGTATGATACTATTATAACGATTTGATATGATTGAAAAATTTCTTAAAAAATTTATCGAATATTCTGTCCATGTTATCATTTGTGATTTATCGGTTAAATTGAAAAAATTTGTATAAAATACTTCAATACAATCATCAAATGATATATGATTATCACCATTATTATTATTGCCATCACCATCATGTTTATCATCATCAATTTCATTACCGTCAACAGAATCGTTATCCATGATCATGATGATTATTCAGATGATTCTTTGGTTTTTTCGAACAAAATAAAGAATCCAAATCGAATTCAAGTGTTTTTTTTCATTTGGCGCTCTCCGCGAATCATTCGGTTGAATGGAGGAGGGGTATAGAGAGGTAGGAGGAGGAGTATGGTGGAAAAAAACGGTGTCTCGTTCATAAATGACGGTCGTCGAGAAATTGAACCGAAGAAAATTCGAAAAATTCGAATTTCGAATGACATTTTTTTTCATTTTTTGATCATTTTTTTCTAAAACTTTTGAAGATTGAAACCTAGAGATACACATAAGAGGAATTCAGCATCCATGTTTCTAAATCCATTATCTAATTTTTTTGATCAAAAAAAAGTTTTTTTTGTTGCTTTTTGATCTGCGAAAATATATCTCGTATTTCATCATCATTCGATTTTCAAACAAACATTTTTCTGATTCAAAGAAAAAAAAGCAATGAAGAGATGTTGATGAATTGAGAGAGAGAGAGAGAGAGAGAGAGCGAAATTGATATAAAAAGCGAATGAAAATCCTAATTTCGAAATCATATTGCACAGCCGAAAAAAAAACCAAAACTCTTCAGTTGGTCAAAAACAACAGAAAACCACACACCGGCTCACCATTTATTCGTATCATTTCGATATTTTATCAGCAAAAATTTTCATTCAAACATCCGTTAAATCTTGTTTTTTTTATCCAAATAAAAAAAACAACCAAAAATTCAATTTTTTTTTGTTTGGTTCCAACAACGAACGTGAGAAACATTCCGGGGAAAAAAACCGAAAAAAAATTATCCAAAAAGTTCCCGAAAACAAACAATCTTTCGTTCTCTTCTTTCAACCCCCTTTCTTCATCATTCATTCACCAAGCGCGCTCATAAATAAGAAAAATAGAAAAAATCGGTTTTAGAAAAACATTTGTGCGTTAAACAAAAATGCGTGGCTTTTAGAAAAAAAGTTTCTCAAAGTTTTTTTTCTTTCTTTCCCATCCATCTTATACAACGGTAAATATTGTTTTATTTGACTTGAAAGTAAAAAAAAAATAACGTTTCAGCAATAACCGGCCCTGAAGAAACGAAAAAAAATGGCTTCAACGTTTTTCAATTCGAATATCGAAGATGAACCATTTTCCACCTCAACCACCACCACCACCACCACCAACAACGATATTCATTCGATCAATAATCAAAATACAGCGACAACAACTACGAATATTGTTGATTTACAAGATTTTAATAATGGCAATAATAATATGATCTCACTTCCAAATAATAATAATCACCATAATCATCATCATCATCATTATAATAATTGTGTTCAAATTTCAAATTTAAATTCAAATTTGATTAATAAACAACAACAACAACAAACAACTATTTCAAACCGTCCACCACCACCATCGACAACACAAAGTGGACAATTAATAAGTCCAACAACAACAACAAATCGACCAAATCGAAGTAAACATTCGAATATACGTGATCATCGTTCGAAATTACGACGTGTACAACAACAACAACAACAATATCAACAACAACAACAATATTATAATAACAACAACAATAATAATGGTATAAATAATAATCAGATTAAAGAAACGATACAGATTGATCGTTTATTTAGTATATTTATTGATCCAATGAAGAATTCAAATAATAATCATAATAATCATGATTCAAAGAAAATTATCAATGATAAATTTAATGAAATTAATCATTATTGTAGTAGTCGTACATTAATGTTAAGTATATTTTGTGAAGATTGTAAAACAGTTATACCATTTACCCAAATACCATCACATCTTATATCACATTATTGTCGTCAAACAAATATGCATGAAAATGATTTTTGTCGTCATTGTTGTCGTTATTTTGATACGAATGATGAATTACGTAAACATAAATCAGCATTGAAACAAGAATCCGATCTATATCAATGTAATATTTGTTCATTGAAAATGAATGATCCAATTACATATGTGAATCATATGCATAAAAAACATTCACTTTATTCATTACCATATCGTTGTCAACAATGTGAATATCGTACAAGTCAACGACGATCATTGATTGATCATATGGAACAACGACATTTTTCCATCCTATGTCCATATTGTTTATTAACAACTGATTTACATTTTATTGTTTTTCAATATTCTGATCGAAATTATGATTTAGAACGTATACGTAAAAATTTATATCTATCAATCGAAGATTTATTAATACATCTTGCACAACATTTAATTATTGCGGATACATTTGCATGTGATTGTTGTGAATGTTGTTTTCTAAATCAATGGGATTTAGATGATCATCAAATAAATCATGAATTGGAAAAACCAACCAAATCATTAATACAATATGTTGAATTTAATGATGATGATTATAATCAACAGAATGAATTTCCCTTACATCAATCAAGGGTATTATTTCCATTAGCATTTCAACAGACAACAACAACAACATTGTCAACGACAACAACAACAACTACTTCATCATCATTACGTTCATTAAAATATCAAAATAATAATCATAATCATAATCATAATCATCATCATCATCATCATAATAATCATTCAATAATAAGGCCAAAAACACGTAATCATTCAATATCAACATTATCATTTGATCCAGAATCAATACGATTACATTCGATTGCTGAACAAATTTGTACACAACCTGAATTGAATAAATCATTAATAGTAAAAGTAATGGATAATCGACAATCATCTAATAATAATAAGAAAGCAACAACCGATTCAGCGAATACAATGGATTCATTCTATGATTATCTACATAATAATCCATTATCATTATTACAATATCTAAGATTAATGGCTAAAAAGGAAAATTTTTTCTTTAAAAAATCTAAAATTTTATTGAATGATTCGTTGAATGTTAATTCGTTGATGATTAGATCACAACAAAATCCATTTGATTTAACAAATTTATTACAAAATTTTAAATGTTCATCATGTTTATTGCCGATCAATGATTTTAATAATCATTTTATAAAGAAAAAATTATCCTGTTTAGATCGTTGTTCATATGAAACATATTGTTATCGTTCATTATATAATCATGTAAAAAATGTTTATGAAAAACCAATATCAAAATATTTTGATTCAATTGTATTCTCTCGGTATGCTGATCCAAAAACAATACAAGATTTAGATCATAAAAGAATCCAGCGGGAACATATTGAACAAGCAAAAGATTTTGATGAAAATTATTCCATTGAAAAAGAAGTTGATGAAATAACAAGTGAATTTCCAAATGATCAATGTCCATTTTATATTAATGTTTGTATGCAATGTTCAACATCATTTCGTAATTTTAGTTTTGCTGGTAAGTTTTTCATGTTTTTTCATGTTTTTTGATTCATTTTTTTCTGTTTTGCTTTCAGCCTTACATAGCCTTCATGCAAGCTTAAATCGTACAAACCAAGATGATAAATTGGGATTGGTTTTGGATACACAACAAACACACATAATTTATCGTCGTAGTTTAATACGTGTCTTCCGTTTTATTGATGATAATATTCAACGATTGATTATAAATGCAAAAATTCGTACATTATTAGATGAACTGCAACAACCAACTAGTCGTGTTTCAAGACAGTTAAGAATAACCGATGGTCAACAACAAGATAATAGATTGGTGGTAGCCGGTAATAGTCGTGGAAAAAATCGTTCAAATTTACAAACAACAACGACATCAACAAAACAATTATATTTACCTGGTAATCATAGTTCTGCGGAATCATATTCATCATCTGGACGTAATAGTTTGAATGTAAAAATTTTACAACAGAAAAAATTTCCAGATGGAAATGATTCTTCACCGGAATCAAATTCCGATGCCAATGACAATGACAAAAGACATGACAGTCGAAAATCATTACAAAATCATTCATCATCGACGACAACCGCAACGAATAAAAATGAAAAACGTAAACGATCAAGATCATCTTCTTCATCTTCTTCATCTTCATCATCACCAAATCATGATGATGGTGGTGGTGGTGGAAGTAGACTTCGACGACAAACAACAAAAATTCCAAATTATTCGGATAAAAATAATCATCATCATCGTTTGGGTAGTAAAAAATGATAACTAAATATTGATAATTTAATGTCTTACCATTTTCATCATCATCATCATCTTCATCAAGTAAATAACTCTTTTCTCTCTCTCTATCTCACCTCACACTCACATTCATCAAATTTTTGACTTGAAACTGATTTTAAAATATGTTTTTTATCTTCTTCTTCTCTCTGTCTGATATCTGTCCTTGTGTGTGCATGATAATCAATTTTTTTTCTTCATGTAATTTAACTTCCGAAAAATTATTCATCATCATCAATTTATGAAAATCTGTTTAAAAAATTTTTTTCTTTTTCTTCTATCATTAAAAAAAAGATGTGATAATTTTATTTTCAAAACAAAACAAAGAAAAATCAATTTACCGTTTTTTTTTTCTCTCCAAAATAAGTTTGATTTTCAAACATGAAATGGATTCTTCCAAAAACATTTTTAGATGGCGCTTTTTGTTCCCGATAATAATTTCAATAAAATGTTTGTTTGTTTGGTTTTTGGTTTTGTCCAAAAATTTTTTTTATGGCAAACGTGACTTTTTTACTTACTTACTTTAGTTACTTCTCTCCGTTTGTATTGGCTTGGTTTACTGTACTTTTGTTTGCATTTTGGTTGTTGATTGGATATTTTCAACCTTTGAACCTTGAAAGTTTTGATAAGTTTTGGATTTTTGTTCTGTTGCAAAATCATCAAGGTTTCAACATTGATGGATGATTCGAATCAATTTTCAATACAGGAACGTATTGCATGTTGTTTTTGGTTTGATCAATCAAGATCAACCGATTTGGTACAGGAAAAATTTCAACAACGTTTTCATAATAATCATGGAAAAAAATCATCAACAACAACAACAACAACAAAACCATTGCCATTACCAAGTCGACAATCAATACGTTTATGGTATCAACGTTTTATTAAAACTGGTTGTCTTATACATGATGATAATGGTAATTTAGATCAACAGATCAATTCAATGGCTAATCATAATGATGATAATTTAACCGATTCGATCGACGATGAAGATTCATTCATCAAGATGAATAACTGTAACCATCATCAGCATTCGAATGGAAATGATTCGAATGTTATTGAAAAGAATTCGAATGGAGCAGAAGCAGTAAAACTTTCCGGTAAAATGGTAAAACGAAAAATTGGTCGACCAAGAAAAAAATTACATCATAAAACAATACTTAAATCAAAACGATCAACAACAACGGCAAAAAATCAACAACAACCAGCGAAACCGACAACAAATTCTCGATTAAGATCAACAAAATGATGGTGGTGATGGTGGTTAACACGATAATAATCAGGGATCTCGAATATTTCTTTTTTTATTCAACGATTTTTTCTTTTTTTTTTTGTATTTCTATGAGGAAATTTGTCTTAATTTTTCTTCTTGTTTCGGTGATGATGATTGAAATAAATGAAAATTTTCTCGATCATATTTATCATATTCTAAATCATATGCACGTTTACCAAATTCAAATCGAATATTACTGATGGTTAGACCGAAAATTCTACGAAACGCATCCAATTCGGCCATACGTTTTGCAATCGATAATGATTCACCCGAAGATTGTCCTAATAATTTTGGATTATCATCATCATTCGAATAAATTCCAACAATAAAACAGGATTCAATTGTATCGATAGCACTTTGTCGTAATATTCTTGATTCACATTTCAGATTAGGATTTTGATTTTGTAGAAAAATTTCCAAATTTAAATCCATTTGATCTATACGCCATATTTCTAATGGATCACGTCCATTTAAATATGTACAAATGAAATCGATGATAAAATTTTGTGCACGTTTCTCGCCACCACCGTTGGTTTGAATTAATGCACCAACAATACTTGAAACAGTATCGGCCAATGTTTGTTCATTTGGTGGAAATTCTGAACATAATACCAGATCTAATTTGAAAAAAAAGATATTTTCGAAAAAATGATGACCAATCGAAATAAACAAGAATCTTACCAGTACAACCAATCCATTTAGAAATATCTTGCATTACTGTTTTGGACATTAAATAATCGACTAATGATTGTATACATTCTTCGGGTGCTTGTCGTAAATGATATCGAAGATATTTGGATAAAAATTTTCTCATGAATATAGAACCCGATTGAATAAATTCCGAATTATCTTCCAATTGATGTGAAACATTTTGTACACCTAAACTTTCTTGTTTTGATTTTTGTTCATTAACATATGATCGATGTGTAAATAAACGAATTAAAATATCATTATTTAATTGTGGTTCTTGTAATCGTTGTGCAAATGCATATAATTCGGATCCAAAATCCCAATCTTGCCATTCAGATCGTGCACGTAATCGTTCGGGTTTTGCATCAAAACTACGTTTTCGCCAATACATTTTTCGTAATAATTTTTCATTTGCTAATTTCATTCCTCTTTTCTGAATCATTTGATTCAAGGAATTTTGCTGATTAAACATTGTTGTTTTTGATGAACATTTTGATGGTAAAATCATTGAATGATAATAATGATTCTTCGATATTGTTGCGCGAATAATTTTCGGATTTAAGTTAGTTAATAATCGATTCATGATTGAAGGATTTATGGATCAAAAAATGAAAAAAATGAATTTTGAAAAATAAAAAGATTTCAACAGCCAAACCACATGATCATTTCATTCAAAAAAAAAAAAGATTCTTTTCCATATCGACATGACTGGATCCTAAATGCTCATAACAGCCGAATATTGAAAATTGCTTTTTCATTGTGTGTGTCGTGTGTTTGGTCGTTCACATGTTAAAATCCTTTCAAAATTCGAAAGAAAAATCTCAAAAATCTTCAAAGAAAAAATGGAAAAATTTCATTTCTATAAATTGAATAAAATTCATCGTGATGATATACGATCGTTGATAACATATCAAAATCCAAGTGATGGTTGTCAAAAATTAATGACAATTTCACGTGATTCCGAAGCGAAAATCTATTCACTTGATTCAGAGTAAGTGTTTTGGTTACAAATTTTTAAAATTCTTTGAATTTCAAATAATCATTTTTTTTCCCATTACGACTCGCAGCGGTTTCATTGATTTCGATGTCGACTATACATTCTATTTACCGACACAAATTTCAACCGTATGTGTTATTGATCGTTCCGATCTACCGACAGTTTTATTTATATTCGGTTGTCTGAATGGACATCAATATGTATTTCATGGTTTCGAACAGAATGCATCACAATGTATTACGTTGCATCAAAACAATGGTAACTATAATGATTTTTTCCATTCGAAAATTGATTTTTGAAACTTTGATTTTTTCTCCCCAGTCTGCATAATACGCGCGGATTCAACACAAACACGTATAGCCAGCGGTTCATGGGATCATACGGCCATCGTATTCAAGCTAGATCAGCAAAATAAACTGATAAAATTAATGAAAATTAATGGTCATCAAGAATCGGTAATGGATTTACAATTTATTCGATCGGATTTATTACTTACCGCTTCATCGGATCGTACGATTGTTTTGTGGAATTTAAACAATGTTTTAGACGCTGTGGTACAACAACAACAACTGTTTCAAGGACATGAAGATTGTGTTCGTGGTTTAATGCTTAGTAAACATGAAGATGGTTTTTATTCAATTTCAAATGATCAAACTATTCGTTATTGGAATCTTACCAGTGGTCAATGTGAACGTATTTATATTGGACATGAACATTTTATATTCAATATTAATCGTTTAACAAAAGAATATTTTTTAACTTGTGGTGAAAATAATTCGGTTATAATTTGGAATGAAAAACAATTGACACCATGGCAATCGTTGAAAATACCAGCAGTTACAGTATGGTCAGTAATAGCATCATCATCAAATGTTTTCTATACTGCTGGTAGTGATGGAATTATTTATTTGTTTACTAATCAAAAAGATCATCAATCAGATGAACAAAATCAAACAATTTTTGATGAAATGTTAGTAAAACAAACAAAAATCCCGTTTACATCGGTACAGCATTTAAAATTATATGAAGAAAATTCATTGATTTCAATACCACCAAAAAAAGATAATGAACGACGATTAATACGTTCAATGTTAGATAATACTATATTGGTTTATGAATGGAATCAATCATGGAAACCAATTGGTCATGTACCTGATTATAATCAACAAGAATTTGATTATTCAACTGGTCGTATACCATATAATGATGAATTCTTTGATGAAGTTTTCAATGTAAAATTGAATGAAAAAAATTATAAATTACCATTTAATCGTGATCAAGATCCATGGATTGTTTCGCAAACATTTATCGAACAAAATCATTTAGATTATGGTACATTAACATCATTAGTACAATGTATTGTTAATTATGCAAGTTATAAACCGAAAAAATTAGCTGATAATACCGGTGGTTTATATCCAATTTATGAATTTAAATTATGGCCATCATTAAAAAATATTGATGCATTTCGAAAAAAATTTGAAGAATTTAATGCAAATATTTCGGATGAAAATTTACGTTTATCCAGAGAATATCTTCAATTAACAAGTACACAAATACAAAATCCTGAAACAATTTGTGATGAATTATGTTTAGCATTTCGTAAATTAATTCGATGGCCAAAAAATATTCGTTTTATCGTTTATGATTTGTTACGAATATTATTGACAAACAAATATTTTAATACATATTTTCTTCATGAAATGGAATCGAATGAATTTAAACCGGAATCAGAATTTTTTCATTCAATAATACGTTGTGGTTTGGATAATGATGGTGGTTCGAATCTATCCACACAACTGACATCATTACGTGTTTTGGCCAATCTATTTGGTTCGGTACATGGTGCTGAATTTGCATATAAAAATTTCAACTATATTCAAACAAATCTAATTAAATGGTCGGATTTAATAATGAATATTAATGTACATACAGCATATGCATCAATATGGTTTAATTTTAGCGTTCTGTTGGCTGATCAGAAAAAGCGACAAAATTTTCATTTGAAAAATATGATTATGGAACAAATACAAAAACATAATGAATTAATAGTGGAAACGGAACAATATAAATCAATTGAAAATGATTATCATTTAGTAATCGTAATAATGATGAATACATTTGGAAATTTAATACAATCAAAATTTAATTCACAAATTGCTGATCAACATTTACATTGTTTACAACAAAAATATTTAAAACGTTTTCAAAAAGATAATTCCGAAATTCGTTATTGTTTAAGACAAATTGAAATGATTTTTGATCAATATTCGAATTAGGATTCGAATGATTTACGGGGAAGCGCCAAAAAAAAATCTATATCCACCATCGGTTGGTCACCCAAGTCGAAATATTTTCTCTGTGTCTGGTGTGTATCGAATTTCTATTTTTAATTTTTTTTTTTGGTTATTTTTAATTTTCGAAAATTTCCGCTTTCTCGCCTTTGATTTATAAATAAAAACTCGTAAAAAAATCTCTTTTTTTGTTTTGTTTTTTGAGCGTTTTTGGTGAGTAAAATTCGCGAACAACAATAATAATAATTTTCGCGATTCATAATTCGAAAACAAACCGTTCGTCCACTTTTTCCATATTTGGGAACGAAAACAAACAAAATTTTTTGGTCAAAAAAAAAACGAAATACAGCCAGCTACTTTCACTGCCAGATATTTCATTATCGGTAAGTCGTTTTTTTGAATTGAAGATTTTTATAATCAAGTAAAATCAATGGATAGAATGATTTTTGCTTCCTTGCGAACAAAAACAAAACATTCGAATTCGAATGTTAACATTTTCAATGTCATTCATACAATTTAGCAAAAAATGAAGGTGAACTTTGATGATTTATATGATAATTTACCACATACGATGATCATGATGCAATTGAATTAACTAATTGTTTTTTGCTGTGGGGCCAGTTTAGCTTGTGTGAACACATCAAATTTCGAATTGAATTGAATTGAATTGATGTTCAAGGTCATCGAACGTTATCCTGTTCGATGCGACAAAAAAAATGTGATTTATAAAACTCTGTTAATGTTTGATTTTTTTTCTATTCATTTCAGTGAAACTCAACGACAACGACACATCCTCATTATCATCTCAAAAAGTTTGAAACTGTCCAATTTGGAAATTTGAAAATTTAAACGAAAAAAAAAATGTCTCAACGATCTGTACGTTCAGTATCATCAATAACAACCGAACCACCAAGCAAAATTGATGATGGTATTAACAGTACATTCGAAGATATTATTGCCGAATATAAAAGTAGTCAAGAATCGACAAAATTCCAGAATAATAATAATAATTTTTCTATTGATAATGATGATTTTGATGATAATGGTGGTGGTGGAAATTCATCTCAAGATCGACCAAACGAATCGATGGATTGTAATAATGGTTGTGATGTAGATGTTGCTACAGCTACTGATGATGATACTCAATCGGATCGATTGATTGAATTTTTATGTTTAACTGGTCGTTTAAAAACACTTCCACGTCGTGGTTGGATATTGAATAATCGTTGTATAAAAAATCCTGAACCAATTGCTGGTCATATGTATCGAATGGCTATAATGTCAATGTTGTTCGATGATGGTGATGACAATTCGACCAATTCCAACAACAACGATAATTCAATGGAACCAACAAAATCGACAACCAAACTAAATGCTGGTAAAATGATACAATTATCATTGATACATGATATGGCTGAATGTATTGTTGGTGATATAACACCAATGGATGGTATTGATGCGGATGAAAAACATCGTAATGAATTGATTGCAATGGAAAAATTAGGTTAGTTTGTTTGATTGATTGGTAAAATTATTTCTTACTTTCTTTATTTATTTTTTTCAAAAATAGCATCATTATTACCACCGAAACAATCAAAACGTTTAATTGAATTATATCGTGAATATGAATCACATAAATCACCTGAATCATTAATTGTAAAAGAATTAGATCGTTTTGATATTTGTTTACAAGCATTTCAATATGAACGACAAGAATATTTTAATCAACAAAAACGTATAATACGTTTTGATAAATTTTTTCAAATTGCATTGGAACATGTTCATCATCCATTATTACGAAAAATGGTTGAACGTTTATGTCGGGAACGTGATCGTTTTTGGATTGAAGAAATTGTTGCCGATATTAATAATCATAAAGCTGCTGCTGAAGCATTGATTGCCGCACAACAAGATAATCTTCCTGTTGATATATTTACAAATGTTTATCCAAATGGTTTAACGCAACAACAAATGATGAACATTATAAACAGCGATCAGAATAATAACAAATAATACCTCAAATTTCCTCTGTCGTCGTTTAGGCAATTTTCTTTTCTTCTTTCTGTTTTTTTTTCAATTCTCAAAATATGAAACACACACACACACCACACTTATACAATTTTGCAATTACATAGCCTGATATATATACAAAAAAATCACATTTTTACATTTTTTTTTACATCTTTTGTTTAGTTTTCTAAAATTAACCAATTCATTGATAATCATAATCATATCCTTTTTTTTTTGTTTGTTTGTTTTTTGTACGAAACTGAACGTAATAATAATAAAAAAAATTGCAATCTTTTTTTCGCAAATTCGACTAATTTTCATTTGAATCGATTTGCCGCTTTTTTTAAAGTTGTGTATTCGCAATTTCAATTATCGCCATTGCATCTCTCTTGATTGCGATGTCCATTTGTCTGCGTGAAGCTCTGGTTATATAGATCTTTTTTTCCCTCCCCAGATAACCTTTTTGTTCGTTGTTTGTTGCTTGTTTGTTTGTTGCAGGGTTACAAACAACGTTTTCATCTTTCCAGCAACCAAAAAGATTGTATATCGATGATGAAATGCTGTTGATTAATGACAATGACGATAACCGGATGATGATGATGATCCACAATCAATCAATCAATAACAAAATGACGAAATGGAAATTTCTGCTTTTCAAAATGTTAATGGTTCGCGAGCACACACAGACATTGCTTGAAAAAAATGACCACTAAGATTTTGTCGTCACTTTGCATGCGATATATTCGATTCAACTTTGATATTTAAAATCGAATGATTCTTTTTTGCCATTCATTTCACATATATAGAGATAGAGTGAAAGAGAAAGTTGAATTTTTTTGTTTTGTTTTTGTTTTTGGTTGCCGTTATTTTTGTTGTTTGTTGTTTTTCTGTCATTATATAATCATCATTGAATGAACGAATGATTATCATTCTTCTTCACCCCTCGCACTTTCCCCCTTTTTTCCTCGCAATGATAATATCCTCCAGTTTTCGTTTCTGGTGAAGTTTTTTCTCTCATTGTGTTTGTGTGTGTGTGTATTTCCTTTCTTCAAAACGTAACTCGAATGTGGATTCGAATATTTTCTGTTTCTGTTTTCCATTTTTGTTTTTCTGTTTTCGAATGTTTTGAGTCAAGTCAAAATGTTCAATGTTCCAAAAACATTGTCTCATTTGTTCCAGTCTCTGTATAGTGAAATTGCTATATAAAAATTATAAATGTTTCATGTAACTATAGTAAACCACCACTTTCATTGATCCAACAATGTATATTACTCATTCATTCTCATTCATCGTCTTAAAATGAAATAAATAAGTGTGAAAACAGAGTGAGGAAAAAAAATCCCAATCGTATTTCATTCATTCATTCATTCAAGAAAAATATCAATCGATAAACAAAAACATTCGAACAAAAAAAAAAAAAAAATAAAGGTAAAAATAATCCTTGTGCAACGATGTAACTTTTTTTTATTCAAACCAAAAATAGAATTTTTTTTTTTTTGAAACACAATATTTAAATGTTTCACTTTTTTTCTCAATTCTACAATGTTTTTCATCACCCAATCAACCAACCAGCTCAACATTACCCACTGTTCTTAGTTTTGTTTTTGATTGATTGATTTGATCGAATAAAACAAAAATCACTGCTGTCATCATCATTATCAACCGAAGAAGAAGAAGCCAGCCAGCCAGTCAACCAAATGATTCTCATTTTGCAATGATGAGATAATCGAGGTAAACACGCTCTATTCATTATTATTGTTGAATGCTGTTATCTTCGAAGAAACTTTTTTTTTGTTGTTGTTAAAAGTCTGAATCTCTCTTTTTGGATTCAGTGAATAAATTGAAGTGGTGTGACTGATGTGGTAACGAAGAAGAAGAAGAAAAAAGTTGAAAGTCAAGATTTTTTTCCTCTTCGTTCGTTCGTTCGTTCAAGATTTCCATTATCTTTTTTTTCGTATTTGATGTTCGATTTGAGCAATTTGTGTTTTGTGTGTTTGAGTTTGAATTGTGTGTGTGTGTGTGGTTTTATGCTTCCATCCCAGAAGCATCATTAAAATAATCATCATCCGCAACATCTACCTCTCTAATACACCTTTAAATCAAACAAACAAGTTTTTTTTTTGGCCATCCATTATTCGATCACTGAATTTGTGAGCCATCCAAATTCTGTTTTTGGTTTTTTGCTGAAAAGTATTATCCACTTTGATTCAAAAGAATTGATTCGAAAGATTTCCTTTTCTTAATTATCTCAATGAAAACATCAATGGTTAATTAATGGACCACTATCCATCGATGATTGTTGATGTTTTCTTTCTTTTTTCATTAAGTAAATCCAAAAAATGCGAATTCTTCAACTGCGACGATTTCTTTCTCTCTCTCTCTCTATATATATGTGAAAACAAAAGTGGACAACAACAACAACAACAACAACAAAAATTTTTGGATGTAACATGGTGCAATATACTTGATATTTTTGTTTGTAAAGTGGAAAAAAATGACAACTGAACATCAAGAGAGAAATCAATAAAGAAATAGAAACATCGTCGTCGTCGTCGTCGTGGCCGCATCTTATTTCTCATTAGTGATATGAACATACTCTCTCTCTCTTCGTCTCTGTGTATGTGTGTGTTTTGGATTTTTTATCTTCAAGATCCACCAAGAGAGAGAGAGAGAGAGAGAGAAGATAATTGATGATCAAATTATTATTATTGTTGTTATTGTGTTCGACGAAGAGGTTTTTCGTTGATTCAGCCAAATGGTAAATGAAAAAGAAAAAAATTGATTGCTTTCGATCATCACCCAATCCAACCATTTGACAACGAAGAAAACATTCGAAAACAAAAACGTTCGAAAACGAAGAACTAACCACCAACCACCACTACCACTACGAACATCGTAAAGATAATCATCATCAATTTCTTTAGGTTTTCATCAACTGAAAAACACAAAAAAACAAACAAAAGTTTTCTCTTAATCATTTTTAGTTTGTTTATTTTTTTTGATTCATGAAAACCAAATTCTTCAAAAAAATTTCAACCGAAATTTATCTGATAAAGAAGAAATTCTTTGAGCAAGCAACAACATTATTCAACCAACCAACCAACCAAACGACGAAAAAATGATGATGTAATTTTGTTGTTTTGTTTTGGTTTTGTATAGTGCACCAGTGTTTCTCTTTCGTTGTGTGTGTGTTTATTGTACCTAAACAATCATCATCAGATTTCGCCATTTGCAAAAAATCAAAAAAAAAACAAAACAAAACAAAAGCGGATAGCTTTTTTTTCATATCCATCATCCTGTTGTTGGCGTTGGTGATTTTGTTGTTTGTTTTTCTGTTTGTTTGTTTGGTTGAATAATCTCGATCGCTCAACAATAGTGTTTTCCAGCAAAATAATTAGCCAGAAAAAAAAAATCTTCAAAGATGGCAACATCATCATCAACAACAACAACGATAAATTCAAATTCGAATGGATGTTCATCAACAACAATAAAACCATTCGTACGAATTGTTGAACAACCAGCTAAATGTGCAATTCGATTTCGTTATGAATGTGAAGGACGATCGGCTGGTTCAATACCCGGTATTAATGCAACACCGGAAAATAAAACATTCCCAACGATAAAAGTTTTCAATTATCAAGGAAAAGCAGTTGTTGTTGTTTCTTGCGTAACAAAAGAATCACCATATCGTCCACATCCACATAATCTTGTGGGTAAAGAAGGATGTAAAAAAGGTGTCTGTACATTGGTTATTGATAATAATCCCGATATGATATGTACATTTACATCATTAGGTATACAATGTGTTAAACGAAATAAAATTGAAGAAAGTTTAAAATTAAGAGAAATGATTAAAGTTGATCCATTTCGAAGTAAGTT